AGGTCGGGCACCAACTGGGTTGCCTCTAGGGATGCTTGTCGACCTATTGTGAATTTTGTGATGAAATCTGCCAATATTTACCCTTTAATCGTGGTTCTAAGCTTGTATTTGATGTCAAACTCACTAAGCTCTATTACCCACTTGACCAATCTTCCAGATGATTCTGACTTGTGCAGGACTTGCTTCATTGGCTGATCTGTGGGGATTTCTATTGTGTTGGCCTGGAAATAAGACCTTTGTCTCCTTACAGTTGTTACTAGAGCCAAAACCAAATTTTCCATCTTTGGGCATCTCTTCTCTACTCCTTTCAGAGCTCTGCTGCAATAGTAGACTGGTTGCTGAGCTCTGTCTTGCTCCCTAACCAATGTTGCACTATTTGAGAAATCTGAGACAGTGAAGTATAAGGTGAGCACCTCTCCCTCTCTAGGGCTCACAAGGACCAAGGGCGAGCTGAGATAATTCTTGAGGGCTTTGAATGCCTCCCTACAATGTACATCCTAATGGAACGCCTTTTTCAAGATTTGAAAAAAGGGTTAGCACTTATCACTTGACCTAGAGAGAAAACGACTCAAAGCTTTTATCCTCCTTGTTAAATGTTGAATCTCTCTTGTGTTCGAAGGTGGTTACATGTCAATTACAGCTCTGATCTTTTCTGGGTTAGCCTTTATACCTCGACTATTGACTATGAAACCCAAGAATTTTCTTGCGGAGACTTCAAAGGAACATTTGGCGAGGTTGAGTTTCATCTGATACTTTATGAGAATTTGAAATAACTCCTCAAGGTGTTTGATATAGAGCTCAGATTACAAAGATTTTACTAGCATGTCATCAATGTACACCTCTATTGAGGTCTCAATCTGCTTTTGGAACATGCAATTCACCAACCGCTGGTATGTGACTCTAGCGTTCTTTAATCCGAATGGCATGACCTGGTAATAGTATGTTCTTTGCTCAGTCATAAAGGATGTCTTCTCTTGATCATTGGGGTCCATCCTGATCTAGTTTTATCCCGAGAAAGTATCCATGAAACTAAGCAATTGATGCCCTACTGTGGCATCTACGATCAGATCAATCCAGGGTAAAGGGAAGTTGTCCTTTGGGCAGGCACGATTCAAGACAGTGAAGTAGATGTAAAGATGCCACTTGCCATTAGCCTTTTTTTACAAGGACCACATTGGCCATCTAGGTTGGATAATCTACCTCCTTGATGGCCTTCGCATGGAGGAGCTTGGTGACCTCTTCGTCTATAGCTTTCTGGTGCTTTGGGGCAAAAATTCTCTAATTATGTTTGATGGGTTTGAAAGTTAGGTTCACACTGAGTTTGTGCATGATGACTGTGGGGTCAATCCCCTACATGTCTTCTTGCTTCCCTGCGAAGACCTCGATGTTCCTTTTCAAAAATTGGATAAGGAGATTTTTGATTTCTTTGAGCAATCTTGACCCCACAGACACCGAGTGTTTTGGGTCCTCGTCAAGTTGGATTCGCTCTAGCACCTCTAATGGTGTGGGCCTTGTCTCCAACACGTCTCTCATGTCGAGCTCATCTAGTTGTACGACTTTGACCTCTTTCTTCTTCATAGACATCATGTAGCATTCTCGTTCTATTCACTGGTTTCCTCGGAGAATCCAAGCATGTGAGTCCTTACTGGCTCGAGCTTGTCTCTGCCAATGTTCATCTTGTCGAAAGCGGATGCAAAGATGATATCAACAGAGATCCCATTGTCAATTAGAACCCGGTGGACAGTTCTATTGGCAATGATAGCCCTTATTGCTAAGGAGTCATCGTGGGAATGTTGGTAGCCTTCTAGATCTACATCTGAAAAGGTTATGTTCATGTTCAACCGAGGTGCATTGGAAACATACTATATCTCCAATGAGTCTTCAACGTAGACTTTGCGCATATAGGCCTTCCTGGCTGAGATTGTTTGCCCACCTCCAGTAAATTCTCCTGATATCACCTTGATTTCTCCCAAGGGATGTTGGTGTTGCACAGAAGCTTACTACTGAGATGCTGGGTGTGGGTGATCTCAGCTATAATTGTCTTGCGCTACGAAGCGGCGAAGTTGTTCCCTTTGAATTAGGAACTCGATCTCCTTCTTTAGTTGGATGCAATCATTAGTGTGATGACCATGGTCTTTGTGATGCTCACAATATGTTGTAGCGTCCCGTTTTACGGGATCAGCCTTCATTCGAGGTGGCCACCTCAGGAACTTTTCATTCTGCACTTCGTAGAGGACCTAGGACACCGTGGCATTAAGGGAAGTAAACTACCTTGGAGCGTACCTTGGTTGTAACTCTTGAGGTGGGGGACCCAAGCGATCTCTAATATCTCCTCTTCTTTTTGGGGAGCGATCTCTATCTCTTCGTAGAGACTTTTCTCGACTCCTTTCCTTTTTCGAACTTCGATCTTTTCTTTTCTTTTTCTCCTTATGGGCACCTAAGCCATCGGCCTTAGAGAGGAGCGCTTCCTTGCCATCGATGTATTTCTCTACCTTGGCAAGGACCTCAGTCATACTAGCTTGTGGGTTCTTGGAGATAGAGAACATTAAGTCCTTTGATTGGACTACTAATCCAACAATAAAAGCAATGAGAGCAAATCTTTCATCAGGGACGTCAACCTTTAGAGATTCTGAATTGAACCTCTAAACGTAGCTTCGTAGTGTCTCGTTTGGCCCTTGTTTCACGTTCAGTAAATGGTAACTCAGCTTACAGTAAGTTTGAGTCGGCTTACGGTAAGTTTGAGCTCTAATAAAATGCAACACAAATGAAACTGGGAGCACCCTAAACGAAGAAATGGATCTAAGGGTCAGCCTACTAAACCAGGCCAAGTCTGAGCCCTTCAGTGTGATGGCGAAAGCTCAACATCGCACGGGCCTTGATAACTAAGCAATTCTATCTGGTTTTTGTAGGTGTTGAGATGGTCCATGAGATCCCTTGTCCCATCAAAAGCTTCTATATGTGGTATTCATGAATTTTGGTAGAAGAGGAAAATACAACACTTCTGTAATAAAAGGAGATTCTGTCTACTAGACCAGGGTATCCATAGACAGAGGGGCTTTGCCTTGATCAGCCTCCTTTATACAGTTGAGCTCCTGTTGATCTCTTTGAAGTGCTATTCCTAGAAATGCTCATTCCTTTCTTGTTGGAATGAGGGAAATTCGTTCCTGTGAGTTTCTCTATTCTGGCTTTGTACTTCCTCTTCGTCTTTGTTCCTTTGAACTCGACGATGGACATTGCCAACTGGCTGACTATGCTCTTCTCCCTCGATGATGTCCCTTAGGGGGTTGAGATGTTGAGGTTCCCTCTGTGGGGAATCATTTTGGGCTGGTTGTGCCCTCTGGGAACGTTGGATAAGGTTCAATAACTCCTCGTTCTACTGGGGGAGGCGTTGATTAGCTAGGCGAAGGGATCGAGTTCGTTATTTGAAGGGGGACCCACCATAGGTGGGTCAACTTCTGGATCAGGTAAGAAATCATGAGGATTTTCTTGTTGCCTTCCAACAGCAACCTCTTGTTGATTCTGCAATCGGAGGGGGTTTATCTGACTTATGTTCATATTGCACGTAGAAACCATCAATTACTGAAAATGATTACTAGAATTTTTCATAGGAATAGTCGTTCCCACAGACGGAGCCAATTGATGATATATGTAACACAATAGAGCAAAGATAAGAGATTTATGGGTACTAAGTAACTCAGTCTGAGCTCCTAGACTACTAAGATTTGAACAAGGGAAAAGCGATTTAACACACAAGGAGATTATAGTAGTTCACCAGCTTGGGAGCTCGACTAATCCACTCTTCAAGGGAGTCTCGTGATCCTAGGGCTTATATTAAAGAAATGATATTACAGAGTGTTGCTCTGATTACATTGCTTCTGTCTCTTTTGAGAGGGTAATGCCTCATATTTATAGTTGGCCCAAGGCCCCCCTGATCTTTGGCAAGATCCCTACTTCCTCTGTATAATGGTCACTATTATTATGCAACGGCTGCGAGGATGTTGGGCAGTTGCAATTATTTGCTAGGATGTACGACTGTTATGGTTTGCATGGCACTTTGGTGGAAGACAGTTGTCATCGGTGCTACTAGTAGAGGTGTTGCTATCAGAGAAGGGGTGCTGACCTCGAGCTTCTTGGTCACCAAGAGTGGGCTGAGCTCTCGATCTAGGGAGGTCTATGCTGATCACCCGAGCTCATCCTTGCATGTTTTGGGTGTCATCACTTGCTGATTCCTCAAGAATTTTAGTTTGGAACTAGGGGCTGTAAAGGTTCATTCAAATTATCAAACAAACGGAATTGAATAAGATTTTTAAACTCGTTTTTCAAGTTGAAGTTAAGTAACATGTGGTTCGGTTTGAGTAATTTTTTGTATAAAATATTTTTAATTTTACTCTCAAATAATCTTTATTCGATGTCACGGTAACACTACGGCAGCGTGATATCGTTACCAAATAAGTTTTAGTTATAACTTTTCTGATGTCAAATTACGATTAAAAATTACACTTGGGACTAAATGAGGTCAAGTTTTACAACTATGAAAAAAGTTACAATAGTTCCTAAAGTATTGTGATCAATATTAAAAAAATTATTTTGTCATAACCTCACTAGATGTAATTGTATTCTCACCCTTATTTTTTAGTAACTTGGATACCGAACCGAAAACTAACTCTTCGATACCCTGCCTATAGATATTTTCGAGAGTTGAATATCTTTTCATTTCTAAACTAATAAATGGGGAATGCGTTGTTTGTATAAGAACTAGATTGTCTATATTAAACATTTACTTGAAGAAAACTTACACTTTGCATGGTGTAATCTTACAGTTTGATGGTAGTTACAGAAAATGGGAAATGTGTGTAGGATATAATAATCAACCTTCTAAAGAGCACCACTTTCCTAAATCTTGAATATTTCACTTATTTCTAATGTTCTTTTCGCCATATGGCATCTGTACTGCTGATATATAACACCATCTACGATCTGCTAAAATTCTTGGGGAAAAAATGAGACCTGAGGGTGGTATGGATGACAATCTGCTGAAGGTATCGTCAAAGAGGTTAGTCCAGTTGTTAAATCTAAATAGTCCTGTGGATTAGAGACCTTTTTTTTAATTACACCCACAATAAAAATTCCTGAAATCCGACCGAAATTCTACGAAAAAAAGAGCTAAATTATCTAGAGAAATAACCCATAAGTTTTTTTTCCCCGAGTGGAAGGTCTATGCTATGGTGTAAAAAGACATTGCTGGTATCAAAGAAACGATTTTCTCAAATTTGGCATCGTATTTTTATGTAGTTTTATCATTCCATTTCTTTGTGAATTTTCATTGATGTGTTTTAGCCGGTTTTAGGCAATCAGCACCCATTTATCATCGGGCTAATAGTACTTTTGACTATTAAAATATGTATTTTTTAGCAATTTAGTCTTTAAAATATCAATTTTATCAATTTAAATTTTAAAGTATTCAATTCGTGTCATTTTAATCTTTTCATAGATTGACCATTAAATTTTTAACAAAATAATCACATATTTGGCACGTAATACTATCTAAAAAATGACACGTAACCACTTCTGCATAAAAAAAACGTAACGGTCCATTCATGTCGAAACTAAAATGACACGAATTGAATACTTTAGAGACTAAAGTAATAAAATTGATATATTAACGACTATACTAATAAAAATTACATATTTTAGGACTAATAAATGCTTATGACAAATCCTGCAAAATACTTTTTTATTAGGTTGATGGGCAGAGTTGCAGTTATAACTGGTGGTGCAAGAGGGATTGGAGCAGCCACAGCAAAACTATTTTTCGATAATGGGGCCCACGTTGTCATCGCGGATATACTGGATGAATTGGGTTCGACTCTCGCTGATTCTATAGGAGGCCGCTACATACACTGTGATGTAGCCAAGGAAGCCGATGTGGAATCAGCAATCAAGCTTGCACTAACATGGAAAGGGAAACTAGACATTATGTTCAACAATGCTGGCATTGCAGGCCCTGGAGGGAGCATCACCAACATCAATATGGAACATATGATGACCCTAATTACTGTGAACGTAAATGGCGTTGTGCATGGAATAAAGCACGCTGCACAGGCAATGATCACGGGTCAAAAAGGAGGCTCAATCATATGCTCGTCGAGCTCAGCAGCCATTATGGGAGGACTAGCATCACATGCCTATACATTGTCGAAAGAGGCTATTCTTGGGATAGCTAAGAGTACAGCATGTGAATTGGGGGTCCATGGGATTCGTGTGAACTGTGTCCTACCACACGGTGTGCCCTCCGAGATGCTGGTGAGTGCCTACCGGAAGATTCTTGGGAAGACCGATCTGAGTCCTAAAGAGGTGAGTGAGATCGTGGCCGAGAGGGGGAGTTTGCTGCGAGGAAGAGCAGCAAGCATGGAAGACGTTGCCCAAGCTGTATTGTTTCTAGCTAGTGATGAAGCTGGATACATAACAGCCCACAATCTTGTTGTTGATGGAGGATATACTTCTGCTTGCAGTCAGATGAGTTTCATCTACCAAAGCTAAAAGATCTAAGCTCAAAAAAATGAAAAAAGTATTGCAATACAATAAGATTATGTCGACTTGTTGTAATCTATGTTTTTGCCTTACTATCATCCTCAATTGGTATAGAGCCTTAACTCCGCATAGAATTTGCAAAGGATGAATCTAGATGCCAAACTTAACTCCATTAGTATTAATTTATTGTTGTTCGCAAAAAATGTTCATTAATTTTCAGCGACAAATATTATATTATGCTCATAAAAAAAATATGATCAAAATAGAAATTTCTTCTGCAACGAAGGTTTTTTTGCGACAACCAGATGAATTCTTAAGTGACTAAATTTTTTATTGCTAATAATCTACTTAAAGCGACGATATTTTTGTTGGTTGTTAAAAATTTTCAGAGACGAGTTTATCACGAAAAGTTAGTGACGAAATTATTTTGTCGCAAAAAATGTTTAGCCATTTTTTTTGCCGCCAAAAAGTCTTTTTCTTGTTCTGCACAACCCTCTTACAAAATACAAAGATATCGAAGATGACGCCAATGTGATGCCAACCTAACTCTCTCAGATGCTCAGGTCAATTCTTTGAAGATTAGGGTCGACAGAAGCGCTGATGCCAACCTGAGTCATGTTATGGCTGTGGGTTTTTTTCTTCATTGTTAAGTGCTTCAAAAATTGAACTAATATGAAAGAAGACGAATTATATTTTACACACTTAAAAATTTAAGAATTTTTATTTTATATTTTCAAAGGTTAAACTTTTTACATTGCACCCTCAGTGTATTAAAATTATTGTAATATGATATTTTTATTAGCTTTCGGTACTCATCCGTCAAAGTCTACGGGTGGTGTTTGACAGAATAAGTAACGGACTTTAACATAAAAGTCACGTTACAATACTTTTAATATATTGAAGATGTAAAGTAAAAAATTTAATTTTTAAAAATATAAAATAAAAAATCTTAAATCTTCCCGTTATAAAATGAGAATTTTCCAAAAAAATAAAATAAACAACACAACCTTTCATCCAAAAGTCATAATTATTTTGCAATTAATGGTCACAATCTTTCAGTCAAGAGTCATGATTATTTTGGTAATCAATAGTCACAACCTTTCATCTTTGACAAGCTATAACTTTCACGTATGAATAGTCATGACGTTTATTAGAGTTTGTTTAATTAGAAAGAAAAAGTAATAGAAAATAACACAAAAGAAAGGAAAATAAGTTGAATTAATTACAAAATATCTCTTTAAGTTTAGATCATATTATAATTAACTCTTTTTGATTTTAATTTAAATAATTTGTCCCTCTCAAATTTTACTAAAATCAATTATCCATTTCTATTAAATTTGACAAAAATTGGTCATGTGAATTTCACATGACCTTTAATTCAATTGACGAAAAATTTGCCCTACTACTCTACGCCTTCATAAATAAATAACACAAAAAATATAGTGAAAATTGGAGTTGAGTCATTTTAAAGGATTTCTAATGAGTTTAGTCCATTAAAAAAATTTATTTAGAGATAAGTTCATTTTTAATCCTACTAATAAGTCACTGTAGGTGGGGGGTTAAAAGAGGTTGACACATGTATCTATGCCAAGGATAATTGAAGGGGGGTGAGTAGGACAAGTGGATGGGATGGAAGGAACTCAAGCAGCCTGTTAATGAAGAGACGAACCAGTTGGGCAGAGGGTAGGTGAAAAATGATCTCACTAGCCAGAAAAATTATCCCCGTAGTGGGCAAATAATGTGAGTATTTACAGCACAGTGCTTTGGCAGGTCGGGCTGCCTGCTACGACCCCCTATCACCTGTGCGAACCCACAATCGCCTCGACTGTGAAGATACCAGTGGCCGTTAACACGAGTCATTTGTCCCAACATTAAGTAGGCAGATGTGATGACCTGGACGTGGCCTTAAGGAAGGTGCAACAGCCAAGGCGAGAGCGGGCTCCTAAGGTCCATGACCGCGACTGGTCATCGTAGGACCTTGACCTCGAGAGGGCCAAGTGCACGATGTCCCTAGTGCGCTCCTACCATGAGTCATTTCTCTCTCTAGACTCTTCCTCGAAACCTTTGTCGAGGTACTCAATAGAGGAAACTCACATAGTTTTGGTCCTTCAGCCACAAATCCACATGTTCCCATCATCCCATATGCTAATACAGGCTAATAACCCTAGTTACCTTAGGAGTCTCTCCAGATCCCAATCAAGCACATCCCAGTGGGCAATAAGCCATACACTAGGAGGCCTGCTCGAGTAGAAAAAACCTTGGAAACCTTGCCCCAGGCTGAGGTTGACAATCGCGCTCATCCGCCCCTATTGCTCAATTCTCCCTTGAGGATGGTCATACTCCCATGTCCCTAAGTAGGAACACCTCTTAGTCCAGTGGGCCAGTCGAGCAACGACATTCAATAGGTTGAAGATACTATTCTCGCAACGAGGGAGGCGAGCCTCGCCGAGGTTGCTCTCACACTTCTACGATTTCATTTATGTTCAACCTTGGTGAAATGTCCATTTTCCCACTTTCAATTTGATAGAGATGTATCTCACTCTAATGTGATATTGTGCTTGAGGGCGTCATGCCCAGGGGCGTCGTGCATGAGTGTCGTGCCTTGGGCGTCACACATGGCATTATTCTCTACACCAGTTCAGTTGACACTGTCAGGCGCCATTTTCATATCAGCTGATAATTGTTGTCACTTGTCCTGTTATGGTGAAAAGATGTGTTTTGAAGTTTTTTGAGTACTACATTTGCCCCCTGCGCGATCCAGGTCATAGGAAGCCTCCTGCACGTGCACACCATTTTTTGTCCGCACTTGTCGTTTGACTGTAGCTATCGTTTGTGAGCTGACTGTGGTGCTGATGACTAAAATTTGTCATAAAATTGGCCCAAGTCTTCTGCCATTATTTCTCTATTGCCAAAAACATTGTCGTGTTTAGTTGTCCCCTTAATGTATGGACCTTCTTTGGATGGGTTTTGCATGCATAATGGTCGCGAGGACTTGTGTATTCTTGTCCTTGTGCAATTTTTTTTTCCAGGTGTATCTCTGTATCCTTGTACCACTGCGGACAGAAAATCTTAACTACCATTAAGCGGTGAAAATTGCCGATAAAATAGCCCATTATTTTCCTCGAAAACCTTAATTGCTATTGAGTCTCAACAATTGCCAATAAAATAACCCATTATTGCCCTTGAAAATCTTGACCTTCGACTGTCTTAAAAATCATAGTAAATCAGTACCTCAAAAAAAAATTCCAACCATTAGTCACTGTGACTATATCGATGTCGAAGTCCTTTCCCCAACTCCTTGCCGAAATACTGTAATATCTCCATAAAGTGATGGACCACCACTCATTTGATATGTATATATATATTTTACATCCATGGTTTTCAAATTGAACATGTGGGCCAATATTCCATTAAATTCCCCATTTTCCTTATTTACGTAACTTCTCTAAAAAGTGCACCAAAATTTGTTCAAAGTGGTGGACCCCACTATCTATTTAAATAAGCCTTTGTTGAATTTTCCATTTAAAATAACATTTTCCTCAATATTTTTGAAATACCAAAGCTTGATAAAGTTGTGGGCCCACTACCTTTAAACAAAACTTATTTGACTTTTCTCTTGACAATTTGCTTTCTCCATATGCTTTGTCCATTTCTTTATGTTTGGACCACTGAAAAATATTGTCAGACCTCATTATTTAATGCTTGATGTGTAGCCGTTTGGAGTGGAGAAACAAACTGCTCTTCAGGCTAGCATCTTGACCGAGGAAGACAAAACAGGTTGACCGAGATGGAGTGTTGCAAAGTACTATTGCTGGGGCTGGTGTCTGCCATGGGAATGACTGGACATTATGACTAGTATATATATATATATATATATATAATGTTGGGGCTTGCCTGCTCTTATCTTGCGACTCAATGGCTATCTAGCCCACCTTGGATACTGTTAGGGGTGTCTATGGGCCGGGTTACCCACGGGTCCCGTTACCCGGGATAGGGCCGATAGTTAGCCCGACCGAACTCGAGCCCAATATTCTTTTAAGAAAGGGCTTGGGTTTATCCCTAAATCCATTACCCGCTCAAAGCCCAAAGCTCGGTCCAATAATCCGCCCAAATACTCAGCCCAATAACTCGCCCATATATATATATTTTTTTTTGATCAAACATATATGTTTATATTAAGAGGTGGAGACTTTAAATATTAAGACTGATGTATTTTTTTTCATGTATTAAATATTCTAGCTTTTCATGTACAAAAACCTTTAATGGGTAGAATTGTACAAATGATAGATAGGTGGGTAGGTGTCAATCTAGTTGGGATGTACTCATTCTATAGTGATGCAATTTCTCTTCTATTCATTTGTTAAAATTATTCACTATTTAATTTTTGTCCATTTTAATTTTGACTATACTTTTAATTCAAAAATATAATTTACAAAAAATTTAAATAATGTTGTATATTCTTTCAATAAGGCCCAACAAGCCCGCCCAAAATAGGCTTGTCCAACAGGCCCAACAAAGCCTACCCGCAAAGCCCGCCCGCAAAGCCCGCCTAATAGGTAAAAGGCTGGGATGTGGGTAGCTTACCCCTACCCGAAGCCTGGCCCGGCCCACCACTCACTCGAGTACGGGCTTGGGCCTACACTACCCAAGCCCAGCCCGAAAAAAAATTTCGCGAGCCGAGCCCAGCCCATGGACAGCCCTAGATACCGTGCCTTCTTTATGTGCATAAGCCTCCACCCTTGTTTCCCTATAAATTGAAGACTTTTGCATTCACTTCTCATTTCTTACTTTTTCTTCTCATTTTTTCACGGAACCTTGGCATCTTGCCTAATTCTCTTGCAAGTGTTGACATTTTTTTTTTTTTCAAATATCATGGTCTTACATTTTTTTTCAAGACTTTTATCCTAGCTTCCTCTTCCTAGTATATGTTTCTCTCTACTCTACTCTGCCTCTTCCTTTTTTTTTTTTGCGAAGTATATATATATATATCTATATATATATATATATAT